AATGCTTAAATCAGCTTCCTGTTTACGTGCAGGACATGAGGGTACTCCCGTACTTTAGGTTGTGGAAATACATGGATGGCACTAGTTTAACCACTGTAATGCAAAGACCTTCATGGATTTATTTGTTTTCCTTGAAATAATCCCAGGAAACTCTGAGGAAAACTGATGACACCGAAGACCTTGCTCGATTACAAGACATCTTACGTCCTGGTATAAAACTGACGGGCCAAGTCTCCTGAAAGACAACTTTTGATCAATGAAAACAGGTAAAATAATACGGGCGATAGTGCAATACAACCGTGGTGGCGCCTACATATAACATTACGGGAAGTAGCCATTACAAATGTGGAGTTATTTGTTGCAATTTCCCGTTTGGCGTCAAAACACACACTCCGGTTCGCAGTCAAACAATTTTCTAGAGAAATAACCAGTTTACTAGTTGAGGCACCCAGCCAAATTTTCAGATGTGAATGCAACAATACCCCGGAGGCCCGTTTTTCTCGAAACTTCAACTTTAGTTAAGGTAAGTGTGTTATCCGTTCTGAAACATCAGGCTCAAAACTAGCAACCAACGCCAACTTCTCAAACGTAATTAGTCTGCTTGGCATTTGTCCAATAACTTCCATTTGAGTGGTTTAACTAGTGTGGCGACGGGCTTAGTAAGGCTGCTAAAGTAGCCGCTCTCTACGTAAGCACACAACTCGTTAAAATCCGACACCGGCTGACCATGTGTAAGTCCTACGGCTCTGAGTTGATGTAGTTCGGCTATTCGAGTTAATCCTTCTAAAACAAAGCAGTCTTAGCTACGTTTCCGCGATTTCATGTTAATTGAGCTGTCACGAAAGCTGCAGCTGACTGTCTCCCCACATGTTTTAAATCCCCCACGCCTAAATTTCGGTGGCCACTATAGTGTCACAAAACTATAACGAACTGTCATAGAAACGGCGAAGTCCGAAAGAATAAAGTTAATTACAAAACTGTTTCTTCACGCCGACCAACCATGGGCCTGAGGCATCCAGAGAGATACTATGCATATTAGAGAGGCCCAATAACATCGTACTTGGCTCCTTGCCGGCTGTTGCAAACGCTGTTTTTACGGCGCATCGTTTGGCACAGTCTTATGACTGGCACAACTGTGCCGGACGCATTGAATACGCTCACCCTATCCCGGTCCGAGATCGGACTGGGCTGATCAGCCCACTACTATTCGAGTAGTATCTCGAACGTTCGTGTCGATTGTATGTGTCGCATGCGTCTAAAATAGGAAAGCATTTCATGCAGTTTTGAGCTTAGTGGACAATCGGATACATAACCACACATTAGCAAAAAATCCCAGCCGCGGCTAGGCTAGCGCGCTACTCTCTGGCCACCCGCTTGCTGGCTACCTGATAGTTGAGACGATAAGCAAATGAGCGTACAAGGCCAGAATGGCTATAGGTAACTTTGAAATGCATAAGAGTTGCAATGACAGGCTAAAATTTTGATAAATAATCGGGTAAATGTGGATAGATACCAAACTTTGAAGCAATCGCGTGAAAAGACAGCGTCGATCAGTGACAAACGTGAGATTACAGCCACCATACCATTGAGAGATGGAAGAGACATTACAATATAACAAGGACGGTAGATTTGGAAGGGTCCTTGGGCAAACGGTCCACCGAATGGCAGAGAATACTCTTTTTGATAATAAACCTGTGTATTTGATCACGAGTAAAGTCATGGAATTTCTCTCACCAAAAGGGATTGAACGATCAATTAATTATTCCGTGGTTCAAACGTTATCAAGGATTTCTGTTCATATAATTTTCCGGCAGAGTGCTTGTGGATTTGAAAACCAAAGGAATAAAAACGCTTTTAGAACTGCATAAAAGCACGACTTGGCTAATTGTCTTAACGGGTTTCAAGTCAAGACAATTTAAAAAGATATAATATGGGACAAGGTACGGACTGCGCTCAGCGCTGTGAACATTTCAACACTCTTTAAAATCCTACAAAGACAAATAATAAGAAAATAATCGAAAATGCGAGCCCATTTGAACGACCCTGGATTTTGGTGCTTTTTACACATCCTTAGGCTATTTATAAACACTTCTACTAAAGTACCTTTTTGATTCTTTACCCAATTCGACTGTTACATATAGGTTTGCCAAATCATGGTAGACATGCCATGTAAGAACAACATGTCCGTAATTTAAAAAATTCAGAGTATCAGCAGAGGCAGAAGGGACGCATGGCCGAACCAGCAACTAATATAAAACCGAAAAAGGCAGCATCCTTATTCAACCCGTCTAGTAAATATTAAACTCTTCCCTTTGAGTTACAGGCCACTTCGCGGCGATCTCTTGTAAGCATTCCGCATTGTAAAAGGGTTGGATTGCAGCCTGGCCTTCGAGGACTTTTTTGAATTTACTACCACGACTAACCTCGGAAGTCACCCGTTTAGACTTAGCACAGCAGGCAAGGCTGCATGTGCGGAAGTTCTCCTTCTCTGTTCGAATGGTCATATCATAGAATTCCCTTCCGCAGATCTTGTGGTGTCACCATCTATACAAAGTTTTAAAAAGAATCCTGACATATATATGTTCCGAAATGACCAAGAGCGGTGAGAAGTCGAGCTCGTCCCCTGTAAATCGTTCCTATTTTGTCCTACCATTATGAACTCGTTTGAATTATTTCGGCCCTGAAAATTTTTCTGTATGCCACACATTTTTACATTGCAAATAGAGTACTCAACGGCTTACGCCTATCACCTTCAATAAACTGAAATGAACAACCCGTAGTGGAAGCATGAATTTGATTTCGCAGCTATTAGGGCCTTGTCATATCGTTTAAATTAGTTAGCGAATGTGCGATTGATCCACCGGCCCAAAGCTCAAAACCATGTTAACAATGAATAAAAAATCACTTTTAATCACACCCGGTTAGTCCTGTATCGAAGACGCCTACGACTAACCTGGCTGGGTTATTTAAGCGGACCGAAGTCACTTTTGACCCGTACCCACGATTGGATTGGCGTAATCGTATGTCGCTGTGGATGCCGTTGTCCTTACCTCTCATACATTTTGACATCTGTCGGGACTACAGTTTTCTGAGCGACATCAAGAATCATCGCATTAAAAGCGCAGTTTTACGACACTCAGTTGAAAAAATTTTTCGACAAGGCCATAATTAGGCAGTGTTATGGCGCTTCCGGACAAAGACTTCGTTCGACAT